GTTTTCCAAAGTGTCATTGAGCCATTCCTTCTTGGCGTAGCGATGCTTGCCTTGCTGGACGAGCTTGTGAGTATGCGAAGCGAAAGATAGATAGGCGGCATTATACGGGTCAGATCTCCCGGGGTGATCCTCTGGAATCTGGCCTTCCAGCTGTCGGAGGTAGAAGTAGCTGCCACGCTCTAGAATGACTGCCATCTCCTTGTCCTGAGCAGAGGCATCGTAAGTGCCAGGGATGTCAGCATTGGGCTCAGAATGCACCCAGTGCGTAGCATAGAACTGCTGCTGATCATCTGCTGGGGAAGCAGGAGTGAAGGGGACAACGTGGAGTCCTTCCACCTGAACAGCAGTGAACTCTCCATCTTGGTCATGGATGTCGACATCGCCCTGGAATCCAGAGGTATCCGCAGACTCAGTGTCGTCGGCCATGGATGCGACGAATGGGACTTCAGCAGCGCCTGACCAGTGACGCCCACACAAGGAAGGGTTGATTCTGATCTTGTCAATGCGTGTCGGCAGATGCAGACTCCAAAGCCTGCCATCTTTAGGGTAGCTGAAGGTTAAGATTATGGAGTGGAAGGCTGCGTCCAAAACCGCGGGGTGGATGATGAGAACCTCGTCATCAGACTCAGGTGCTGTCAAGGCGAGAGAGCCAGACGCCTTGCCAAGCTTTCTCTTCAAGTCAGACAGAGCTTTGAAGGGACCCGTGTACCCGTAGCCGAAATCGCCGAGGGAAGAGTACGCGAGCTCTGTATCGACGTCCACCATGTAAGGCTCGATCCGGGCAGTCGCGGGCAGCGTGTCACGAGACGCCTCTCCAAGTGAGACGGAGATTTCGCAACTTGCGACGAGCTGGAAGTCCTTGTGTGATCCTATACATGCCTCATACGTAAAGTGGGCTGTGATAGAAGCAGGGTCGTCGCGGATGATGTTGCTGATGACGGACCGAACCTCGATGCCAGACTCTTGCTCATCGTTTCCGAACACCAAAGCCTGATGAATCACCAAGTCGTTGATTTCCATGAGCTGAACCGGAGTCTCTTCCGCAAGGAAGGGAATGGTCTCAAACGCCGTGGCAGCGTACGCAGCTGCGGGGAAGACCGTCTGGCCTTGGATTCTGTGGTGGTGAACCCAGGGGAGATCATGAGGGCGCAGGATCGCCTTCCATGTGACCTGGTGTGCTGAGCTCTGGGGTTGCAAGTCTCCGAGAAGCTGGTGAACGGGTTGACTCCTTGTGCGCAGGTTCTTTGATAAGTTAGACTCGTGCCAATACCCTTGAGAGTGATTCCATTGATATGTTGGCAAATCAGATATGAAGTGGTGCTGCTTCGGTCCGCTAAGTGCAGATTCGTAGCGATCAAAGTCGATGATGAGGTTGTCAACGTGCGTCCACACATAACCGATTGCAGAGGAAACACTCTGGACTGCGTTGGTGTTGCGCTGGAGTAAGCCAGTATACGGGATTTCAACTTTTTTCTCCTTGAGCGTGTCAAGAACGGGACCCTTGAGAGCAGGGTGAGGGCCGACTTCAATGGCAGCGTCAAAAGGACCAAGTTGCATTGCCTTTTCGACTGCCTGCATGAAGAGCACTGGCGAGAGGAGGTTGTCGACCCAGTATGAGGCATCAAAACTGTTTGACGCGTCGAGAGACCGGTCCGGGTTGACACTGGAAACCCAAGTGCACTTGGAGTCAGATCGCTTCATCTGGATGGCGAAAGGCTTCATGGACTCGAGATACGGCTGGGAGCAAGGGACCATGTGGTGTGAGTGGTAAGCCTTGTCCACTCGCAGGCGTCGCACGAACTTGCTCTCGTCCTCGAAAATGTCAATCATCTCCTCAATTGCATCTTCGTCGCCAGAGATGGTGATGCTGGAGGAAGAGTTGCATGCGGCAACCTTGACTCTTCCTAAGAAGTAGTCATCGTTGCAGATAGATTCGGCGTCCTCCAAAGTCGTTCCGACCGCTAACATCGCACCTTGCACCCCCTCTGGACCTTCAGCCAAACGCGAATGAAGGCCACGGTAGTATGCGATGCGAATAGCGTCAATGGCAGATAGGGCTCCAGCAGCAAAGGCTGCCCCAATCTCTCCAGAGGAGTGACCAACTACCGCAGCGAAGTTGATACCGCTTTGACGAAGAAGCTCAACAAGGATGACTTGAACAGCAGTGCACAGAGGTTGCGCAACTGACGCACTTCCAATCTGGCTCGTCTTCGCTTCAGCAAGCAGTTGTTCTCTCAGAGTCCAAGCCGGGCGATCCGTCTCAGGCAACTGCACCAAGGCATCATCCATGGTGGCCAGCAAGTCGGCGGCGTACTGGGAGGTCTCAACAAGCTCAGCACCCATGCGAGCCCACTGCGCACCTTGACCTGTGAACACACCCAACAAGCGAGCTTCCTTGGTGCTGGTTCCGGCAGCCTTGGAATCCAACTGGAAGTTACTGTTGCCAATAATGCCCTTCAGGTTGGTCTGGAGTACCTCAATAGTTGACGCTGGCAGCGCCAGTCGCAAGGGAAGACGAGAGCGGCGTGATCGTAATGTCCACGAAAGGTCTGAAGGGCTAGTTTCGGGATTTTGCCCCAAGTACTCGACATGGGCGGCGAGACTAGACAGGAGCGATTGCTTTGACTGTGCGGAGAAGAGGAAAGGAGCGACGCTTTGGGTGTCGATGTCTTCCTCGGAACTGGACGCCTCATATCCCTCGAGAATGATGTGCGCGTTTGTACCACCAAACCCGAAGCTGTTCACGCTGGCTCGCCGGCTTTGACCCGGCGCAAGCTGTGGCCAAGGAGTGAGTTCCTGGGGAATCTTCAAGTTGCGGTAGAAAGGCAAAACGTTTGGATTGAGGTTTTCCAGCAGCATGTTCGGTGGTACATAGCCGTGCTTCATGGCTTGCACGACTTTGAGAATACCGGCTATACCGGCTGTGCTCTCCGTGTGGCCGATGATGGTCTTAATGGAACCGACGAGCAGACGATCCGCGACAGGATCCCTGTTGCCGAAGAACGCGGTGTGCACGGCCTCGGCCTCGACTGGGTCACCTGCCGGCGTGCCCGTGCCGTGAGCTTCGAAATACTGGCACCGATCGGTGTCGGACTCCGGGTTGAGTCCTGCCTTGGCATAGGTCGCGCGTATAAGCGACGCCTGCGCTGCTGCACTGGGCATAGTAATGCCGCGACTGCGACCATCTTGGTTCACGCCGGTCTCGCGAATAATGGCTTCGATATGATCTCCGTCAGCTAGCGCGGCACTTAGCGTCTTGAGAACAACAGCGGCCACGCCGTCACCGCGGGCGTAGCCGTTAGCACCTTGGTCCCACATGCGAGAGCGACCATCGGGAGAAAGCATTTTCAGCTTGCTCTCGTGGATATAAGGCTCTGGACCGAGAAGAAGATTACTTCCGGCGGCTAATGCGACACGGACCTCTCCGGATCGCAGAGCCTGGACGGCTTGGTGCACCGCGACCAGACTGGAGGAGCAGGCAGTGTCCACAGTGAGTGAGGGTCCATGCCAGTCGAAGAAGTACGATATCCTGTTAGAAACGATACTCCGAGCGGTACCTGGGGCTGTTAGTAAAGCCTTCATTGTGTTAAAGGGTGCAACTCTCACCTATTGCAAGGTACGTTGGGACGTGCTGCAAGTCTCGAAATTGCAGAGATTCGTAGTCGACATACATAACACCGACATAAACACCAGTGTTGGAGCCTTTGAGGCCTTCGATAGTCAAGCCAGCGCCTTCCAAGCCCTCGTAAACTGTCTCCAGAAGGAGGCGCTGCTGAGGGTCCATAGCTATTGCTTCCGGCGCTGTAATATTAAAAAATTGGGCGTCGAACTTGGCGACATCTTCTTGAAGTAGGTAGGAGTGCTTGACGTTGGCGTGACCGGGAAACTGAGAATCCTTGTGGTGAAATCCGCGAACGTCAAATCGACTGTGCGGGATCTCACAGAGTACATCGCGCGGTTCTCGGAGCAGATCCCATAACTTGGAGGGCGAGCTGGCACCTCCTGGAAACCTGCAGCCGCTTCCGACAATCGCAATGGGCTCGTTCCCTTGGGAAGCCATGTTTGGGGAGGCCATACTAAGCGACTGGACGTGCTCAGAATAATGTGATCGGGACGGTTGAGGAAACCTTCTAGAGAAGCCCCTTGATAATGATGGTAGACGGTTGTTGGTATTGTACAATGTGGCAAGCTTAAGAGGCGCTGTGTAATCCCCGCGTGATGCGTTCAAAGAACAAGAATAAGAGGCGCGATCTAAGCTGTCGTTTCCAAAGGTACTATTTGATCAACAATTGGACTCAGACTACAATAACTATGCCTCTCAAGCTTCAACTCTCCAACTCGGGAACATATCACTTACCCGATTTCGATCCAGACCTTGAGGCAAATATTGAACAGGCAGTCGTCGGATTCGATCCCTGTCACCTGTCATCGTAGAGCCCAGGCCCTGGATGCAAACTGGTCCCTGCAGCTCTGCCTTAGTGGGCTCCGAATCTGCGGTCAGGACCAGCTTACACCCCCACGTCGGGAGCAAGTGGGTTCGGCAGGATCAGCCCGGCAGGAGCACGTCTTATGCCTCCGAAGGTGTGAGAAAGCCCTCCGAACGGCCTGATTAGGATCTTACGAGTACAACGTGGGGGCAAACCGATTGGCCAGAACCATTCTCCAGAAGGAATCCTTCAGACAGAGACCCGTAGACTTCGCTTTTGGGTAGTGAGAAGGCTGGGTTCTGTGCGCAAGAAGCCGATTACCGAGTCGGTGACTTTGCCTGCGGATGTGGCGGCTGAGGCAGGTTCATCGCCTCATCTTTCACTTTGCTTGCACGCTTTAGGCTTCTAGGTCTATGGAATGCGCGGATGTCCGGTCTAGGGCTTTATGCCTTACTAATCCGTGATGGGCACATGAAGTCTTACATGTAGTCGCCGCATTCTGTCAAACTTGGAATTGATCGGGCCGGGCTGTAAATCCGTTTTGGCGCATCAATCCATCCTGTTGCCGCCACCATGCTGGATCTTGAGTTTGCTGGTACGGGTTGGGCAACTCGCGATAACGCCACGATTGCCTTCGGCTGTGTTAGTGATCCTTTGCACCTCGATAACCACTCCACATACTATAGAGTGTCTAACCATCTTCTAGATCATAGCCTATAGTGTGATTCGAAGCATCTATTTGATTTGGTTTCATCCTTTAGCAAAATATCCTGGACCCAGAATTGCTTCAGTTTCCAACGTCTGGTACGGATACCAATGGTAGGTTGGCAAACTTCGACAAAGGGAGTGCATCCCAGAAAATAGCCAAGACTAATTTATTATCTTCAGGCTGTCCGGTCGCTATCCTTGGGCAATGCAACGAGCCTTCAAAAATTATGGTGAGCTGTAATCACTTTCTGGTGGGAAATTGACTTTCTCACATGAATAGGCGATGTTGTTAGAATTGCACCCAACGAGCTGATCTTCATAACTCCCAAAGCCTACACAGGTATGTTCTCTGCGACCTGTCCTGATGCTGAAATTTCTAACGCAAAGTTGGCAAGACATCTACACCAGCAGCATCAATGGACGGCCTGGCTTTGTCAAGTCTGACATGCTCGATACCGGGGACAAGTACGAGGGCTTAGCTTCGGAAAGGGATATCGACAAGCACCGGGCTGCCCGCAAGCAATTGGCTCCTGCATTTAGTCCCCGGTCTTTAAAGCAGTATGAACCCATCATTCATGCCGACGTGGACGAGTTTGTCGAAGTGCTCAAGAATTCACCTGCGACTGGAGCGGGGGTCGACATTGCTCCATGGTTTGAGAGAGCCACTTGTGATCTTGGTGGCTCGATCACACTCGGCCACAATTTCAAAAACATCCAGTCTGGTCAGTGATACCCGGGCCTCGGTGCTTACGAACTCTTGCAACTAGATTGCGCTGGAATCTCGGCTGACATGATCGCCGAATAGGCCAAAACCACCCTATCTTAGAGTCACTGTTGCGCATTGGTCACTGGGCCACATTCCGCAACGTCATGCGCCGCTTTCCCCTGCTCTACCCACTATCCTATGTCTTTCTGCCGCCAAAAGTGGCGTTCAGCTACTTCAGAGCTCACTCGACGAGTAAAAAGCTCATCAGAACTCGTGTCGAGGAGCGTCACGACCGCAAGGACTTGGATTACATGACCCAATTTCTGAAGAACGAGGAGGCGCTCCCGCCAGATGGTTTCCTCGTGTCTCAAGCCGGCCATCTCATTCTTGATCATTACGAATCTTCGAGTGTCTTGACGGCGGGTATGTGTTTCTTGACAACGAACGATGAGGTCATGAACAAGCTACAGAACGAGTTGAGAACGACTTTCAAGTCGTATGAAGATATTACGGAGGATAAGCTTCAAGATCTGCCCTGGCTCAATGCTACTATTGAGGAAGTCATTCGACTTCACACCAATGTTCCTTACGGACTTCCAAGAATCAGTCCTGGTCACATTGTTGATGGGAACTACGTGGCAAAAGGCGTAAGTAATCCAGCCTACTCTCCAGTCACTGCTCATCAGCACCTTCTCAGTTCCTTTGTCGAGAAATCAAAACTGACCTCAGAGTCAGGTCGTTGTTTCGTCCTGCGCATATGCTACGACTCACTCGGAGAAGTACTTCAGCAAGCCGTACGAGTTCAAGCCTCAGCGATGGCTTCCTAAAGATCATGCAGAGTATGACCACGTTTTTGATGGTGATGACCGAGCTGCCTTTAGGCCTTTTAGTGCCGGATCTCGCAATTGCCTTGGCCAAGCCATGGCCTACCTGGTGCTTCGTATCATGTTCGCAAAGCTTTGCTGGAAGTTCCAGTGGGAGCTCTTGAACAAGAATGAGATGGACTGGGATCGGGATCTTCGACTCTACATTGTATGGCAAAAGCCAAATGTGCACGTTCGCATTACTCCTTTCGAGCGAAAGGTATGATCAGAGACATTGATAAGTCGTCCACACGGCTCTGTCCATGTACTAAGGTAATCAAAGTACCAGTCAAGCTTGGCCCAAATGCAACAACTCCATGTATTTAGATCAGGTACTTATGTGAAATAAGTTGTCTGAATTTCTCTTCAAAGATACCGAAATGGACACCGATGATGACGACGAAGGCGGTGATCTTGCGATAATGGCTACAGCTCCTTGTGATATCCAGGTCTCTCCCTCTTTCTAGTGAAACTCGTTTGGGATACAGACCAGCGGCTTGACTCATTGTGACAGCCCGGTGGCTTTAATCAGAAGATCTGCGCTCTTAACAATAAAACTTGAGGCGACTATGATTTCTAAGTTCTCCTATTCTAATTCCATGCCACCGCTCTTATCGTCTATGTATTAGAGCCTCTGATCCGTTTGCTAGCCTGTCTAATAGTTTGGAAAGTCTCCCGCGTTTGTCTCATCACACCTCTAACAATTTCAGAAGTCTCTAAGCGACTAAGAATCCCAGCCTCGCCCTCGTTCGTGCCATCTCGTTGGTCCCAAATTCGAAACTCCGCAGGTAGACCCATCAGTCGCTCCACCGTATGCATCTGATACTCAAAGACTTGAGTCATCATCATGAGCTGTATGCTTGTGGGCTGCGCTAATAGCTGAGCCGCGCTCGCGGCCGATGTCCCTGATCCAGACCCTTCGCGCAAACACCTGCTCATGCGGTTGAATACGATCTCAAACAGCTCACCGAGCTGGACATATGTTGATAGAAGCATCAATGTCAAAGATAGTGCCGGTGGTGGCACAGGGGTCACGGACTCTAGGACAGTTGCGAACCGCATGGTTACATTGAGAACGCGGTTCCAAATGCTGAGGTCCTGGCCTCCTGGTGATTCTGTATCTTTCCCATGCTGAAATGCGTCTTTTGTGAGATGCGGGTTCCAAGACTCCCATGGCTGATCCTTGAGTTCCGCTAATTGATGAGAAAGGCTGCCAAGGAGGCCTACCACATGGGCCCCCGTGTCACCAGCGTTCGAGGTGCTAGGTGTGGCGATCCCGCTTTGACCAGAGAGCTTGTCTTCAACATCCGTCATTGGCTCGTGGAGATCCCTGTTCAAGTGTTCGGCCATGTCGTTTAGATCTCCGAAGTCGAGATCGGGGACGCTTAAGTCGGAGAAGACGTGTGAGTGTGCTCTTGACGAGGGTATGGTGGGCTCGCCGGATGTTGACATCGCAGTCGGGAAATTTGATGCATCTAACCACATGGTCGAGGTAGTATCAACGTGATCTAGCACCCTATTGCTGGTGAAGAACTGCGAGGGGCCTGGATCTGGCGGTTGGCTCTGTGTTGTCGTCGCAGGATCCGTACCCATTGCGACACGCACACCGCGATGCGTTGAGGAGCGACCATTCCGGGCGCCGTACAGCGATCGACTATCCTCGACCTGGCCACGGTGGTTCGCATGTATTGGAGGCCGTCCCAATGGCCGACCGATGCTCGTGACACACATCGCACCTAGACGGAGACAGCGCTCGCAGGTGCCACCATCCGGTTGGCTTCGGGGACATTTGAGCTTCTGCTCCCGGCATCGGTCGCAAGCGTATCTCTTTGCTGTCTGGTTGTTCATAATACCGGGAGGCTGTTCCGATTAATCGTCCGTGCGATATGATCAGGGGGTTGTCGCTCCGCGTGTAAGTCTCTTTCGGTGTATTTGAAGTCATTCGGAGCGGGAGCCAAGACCTTCGGAGGCTCAAGGAATATTTGAGTTGTGTTTTTGAACAACTATCAGACGAACAAATGTGACATTCTAGTGCGCAGGCACTGAATCCTACGCTTTCCCAATCCGACTAAACGTACGTTCTTCGTTTTTCAGCCCACTTTCACGCTCTCTCGGTAGACTACTTGGGCGTCTAGGGCCCTCGCTCATGCAAGTCGAAACTCTGAAAATGTCTCAAATTTGACAGCTTAGGAAACTGGCCAAGACATATCGCTAGCGAGCAGCAATTGGGGCATCCTACAGGTTCCTTATCCACACGAAACCTGGTTGTAGGAATGTGTTATTCGTGGGGTTCCATCGACAACTGACTAGTGGTGCTAGGTTTCCCGCCACTCGCGTAGCATGTCCAATTATACCAAGACAATTACGGCTTATTATCCGTAGAAACCCCCTCTCCTTCCGATCTGACCGACCAGAGCTCCAGGCAACTGCTTTGAATATGCAGTGAGGGCAGTCCTTGGCAACGGGTCGCATCTGAGGTGGGTTCTCTCGAGACTCGGTTGCTTAGTCTTGGCGCTAATACCATCCAGCCGGCGAAGGAGTTCATTGCGGGAGTTCCCCCCCCCCCCCCCCACCGGAGCAGTCCCTTGCCTGGTAAGGTCCAGCAGCCGGGGCCCATAGCCAGATCTATCCATTCCTTGTCTTTTTCGTATGGCAAAGTGAAAAAATGGTTAGCGTCTCGGACAGACCCGTTGAGGATTGGTATGCGGGGAGTGGTACGGGCCGCGTATACCGGTTATGATGCCGTGCATCCACAGAGCCACAACCAGACTACCTCACTTGTGCATCATAGATTCGTAGTAAGCCCTCAGCCCCAAAAGGTAACTCATTTGATGCAGTCAGCAAAACCCCGGACACAGTCAGCGAAGTCTTGACCTGAAACGGACATACGGATAAGCCCTCGTTCGGCCACTTTACAAAAAGGCACCGAGAAGGCGTGTTTGAATCAGACGATGTCCCACCCGTGGAGGATTCTGAGCCCCGGATGAACGTAGGGCTTGGCATCCTTCGATCCACACTTGGAATACGACACGTTCTTCAATTCAATCTGGAAACCAAAGAACCTTCAAAATGCTACGCATGCATCCACATATCCATGCACGCGTCACGGTTAGATCCGACTACTGTCGGGCCTAAAGACTCTCCAGCGGCACAAAGTCACGAGCGTCCTATGCATAGGGAATAGTCATTGCCCTTGATACTTGGAAAATGCTTCGCGAAATCTTGTACGCCTTCACTGGCTTAGCCCTGTTGGCTTATGCCGCAGATTTCTATTACAACGCTGGAGATGATCCAAATGAGCCGGTCCGGATACGTTCGAGATTTCCCCTTATCGGACACGTCCTGGGATTGATGAATCAAGGGCCAACCTATTACAGAAAGACAAGGTGCGTTGATTCACTTGAAGTTGCGATGAAGTATCAAGGGCACCTGATAATCAAATATCCGACAGCAATTCAACCGAAGCCGAGATCTATACCCTGGGATGTTTCAACTTCAAGGTATACATCAGTGCGTCCAGCCGGCTTCTACCATTCATCCAGAAGCAATCAAGAGCTCTGTCTTTCCGACCTTTCCTCCAGCTCGTTGCGCGAAAGTATGGTGATGCTTCTCCTGCGACTTATGAGATTTTTGGAGGCAGTCTGCCCGATGACCTAAGCCAGTCGGTGAAAATGAGCTTGGCTCCAGGCCGCCATCTTGATGAACTGAGCCTTCGAATGGGCAAGAGAGTCTTAATAGACATCGATGAATTGCTTTCAGCTAAGGCAGCAGTACCGTTGTTGTCTTGGGCTAGACATGCTGTTGTGCAAGCAACAAGTTGTGCCGTCTATGGAGAGAAGCACCCTTTTCTCGACCAGGACATAGAGAACTCTTATTGGTACTTCCCACCCTCTCTGATAGTCTCAAATACAATATCGATGCTAACTATATGTTTAAGGAAATGGATGACATATCTTACTGCCCACTTGGTTGGCTGGCTCGATGTGACGAAGAAAGGTTATGCGGCAAGAGAAAAAGTGTTTCAGTCATACATCAGGTACTGCAAAACGCTCCCCCAGGAGAGCTCTCATCTTATGAAAGAGCATCAACGCGTTCTGGGAGAGGCCGGGGTATCTAGTACGGACAAGGCTAAGCAAGCCGCCATCTTCACCATTGCCTCCTTCGGTAACTCAGCGCCGACTTTGTATTGGACCTTGTGGGAACTCTTCTCACGACAAGAAATTCTCGAAGAGGTCAGAGCAGAGCTTACAGAACACGCAGTTGTCGAGTCGGAAGACAGAGACTTCGTGCTTGACGTCGCCGCCCTCAAGTCTCAGTGCCCCCTCCTCCTCTCGGTGTTTCAAGAAACTCAGAGAACTCGCCACGTCAATCCCAGTTTTCGCAAAGTCTTGACAAACACGCTTTTGGACGACAAATACCTCTTGAAGGAGGGTAATTACCTCCAAGTACCCGGAAATGTCATCCACAACGAAACTGGCATTTGGGGCCCGACAGCTTTGCAATTCGACCCATATCGCTTCATACCCAAGAAGGGAGGCGAGCGAGATGTTTCGACTGCCAGCGGCTTTGTCCCATGGGGTGCTGCGCCGTACCTATGTCCGGCGAGACAATTTGCCGCAACCGAGATTCTCATCATAGCTGCGCTGCTTGCCATGAGGGCCGATTTATCACCTATGAATGGATCTTGGGACAAGAATCCAGCTGTCAATTATGCGGATCTTGCTACCCTTTCGCCGCCTATAAAGGATGTCGGCATGCGTGTACGAGTTCGAGAAGGGTGGGCTGGCAAGTGGACAGTGCAGATGGGCGAGAGTCGAAGCCGCGTGCCTCTCGCCTCCGGGTAGTCGTAATACTCCTTTCGAAGGTTTAGATAGTTCCCAGCGTCAATGTAAAAAGTACTTCGACCCTGTTGCATAACATGAATTGAAACTTTCGAGTACGTGAAACTCAAAACTACAAGCAATTTCTTTCCTTGGCCAAACATTCCGTCAGTCATCAATAGAGTTTCGGCATCTTTTAGCAATATATCATGTGAAAGAACGCAAAGAGTTCTAGTTGTGGATCATTCGTTACAATTGTCTTTCGGATCTTTTAATCAGATGGCAGATTTCTGTCGAATCAACAGGATCCGCTTTTTTGAACTCATGGTCATTTATTTCGTGATTTGTAGTAAAATGGCTATTCCTCAGACGGCAGGTCAACTACCATCGCGTATTGCTGTGAACGCCTCACAATGTATGAGTAAACAAGACTCAGTTGAAATCAAATCCCACGGACGCATAACACGCGGTGGTCTACATCTAGCTACAAAACTCTAGTTGCCTTTGTTCTTCTTGACAAACTCACACATGCAAGGATGTGCCATCTTCAAGTTCAACTCAATGCGGATCTGCTGCTCCGGCTGGCCAGGTGGAATCCGAATTTCTTGATACTCCTGGCAAATTCTCGCCAGAATGTACTCCATTTGTTGCTGTCCAAACTTCTGACCTAAGCAGTGACGAGGGCCACTTTCAATCATCAATGTTAGCTTGACTATGTCTTGAGAATTGTTGTCTGAGGGAAGTTTGAAGACTTACTGGTTGTACGGAATAAAGTGCCAGCGATTGATGTTGGCACCCTCCCATCGCTCAGGTCGGAACTCGAGCGCATCCTCACCGTAAATGTCTTTGCGGCGTTGAAGACCACCAAGAGAGTAGACTGTGATGGTACTTGGGTAAGCTACTTCATCTCCAGAGCTTTTCTTACATAGTGCCACTTACTGATGGTTGTGTCCTTGGGAACTGCGACAGGGTCTCTTCCACTCTTTCCACCGCCGATCGGCAACGTGGCGTCCTTCAGGGCCATCCGAACGTTCATGCCAACTTGTCATGGTTAATCATCGGGACACTCAATGGACTACTCAAGTACTACTTACGAGGGTGATACAATCTGAAGGTCTCGTTGATGACATGTCGGATGTAAGTCATCTCTTTGAGATCAGATGCAGAAGGTGGCTTATCGCCAGATCTGACAAGAGGGATTAGTCTCTCTCGTAGTTGATCCGGTACAGATTGATGTGCTTACACTTGCATAACCTCGGCCTGCATTTTCTTCATGACGTTTGGGTATTTGCCCATCAGGAAAATAGCCCAGGCGATAAGAATTGCTGAGGGGTCCTGGAACAATCAGTCAGAAGTCAGGGGCTTCACAGTGTCCGACTGAATTGATTTACCTTTCCACCAAGCATGATGGTCATCATGGAGTCTTTGATATCCTGCAACCTCCGTGAGAATGATTCCCTTCGCCCCTGAATGATGCTTACTTACCTTAACACTCTTCTTCTGGCTCACAAGATCGTCCAACATGTTGTAATTTTCAGGCGACTTCTTCGACAAGTCTCTCGCATAGGCGCGATCGACAATGCCCGAGGTGTAGCCATTCAATTCCTTCAAAGCCTTAGGAGCCAGGTACTTGTCCTTGACGTAGTAAGCATTCTTTCCGAACAACATGCGCGCCGTGTTGATGGGGTGGAGAGTCTCCATGGGATCTCTGAAAGGATGGTGTCCAGTAAGGGAGTTAGCAGACTCTCCAAAGAACACCTCAGAGACTACGTCGAGCTGGTAACGGTCGGCAACGTCGTAGACTTCAATGGGCTTGCCGACGTCGAAACGTTTGAAGAGTTGCTGAGCATGCTTCTCGGTGATCTCAAGATCATCCGAGCGCATCTTCATAACCTGAGGAGTCGAGATCGTTAAGATCAGAATTATGATGTGGCAAAATGCGACTAAGGGAGTGCACTTACATGCCCCTTGATGCGCTCTTTGCTGTTGTGCCAGTCTTCTCCGTCCACTGTAACCCCACATTAGCATACCAAATTCACAAGATTTGATTAGTTTCAGCAACTTACCAACGAAGATCTGTGTCTCTCCGAGCATATCTCCCCAAATACGTTTGGTGACTTCGCCTCTTCCGAAGCTGGACCACTATTCCACGTTGTCAGTGGTCGTGCATCCAACAAACCCCCATCCCTAGAATTCCAGCCTAGATAAATCACCAAGCCTACCTCTGTTGACATGATCGCCTTGATATTGGCGGGCTCATCAGTGAAGATAAGGCCTGTGCCGAACATACGCATCTCGACAGTACGGCCAGGTACGGCCTCAAGCCAGCTGTTGACAAGCTCGAAGAAGGTGAACTTGAAGAATCTGTACAAGGAGTACACAGCCAAGTCGATCCCTGTGCATCAAGTTGTGAGCTTTGAATGAATCCTCTGCAGGTGTGAGTACATACCAAAAGGCGCCTTGAAGGGAACCAAAGGAGGCGGGGAGCCGAAATCGCGAAGCCTCTTGTCGCGACGCGACTTCGCTCCCCAGTCGAAGACGTAGATGCTTGCGATGAGAAGAGTAGAGTACGCCGCCCAGTTCCAGCTCTTTGTCATTTCCTGTGTCAACTTGGACGACGCAAGCGAGTTGAGGTTGGACTTGATGGCATCAGGGATGTACGGACGGATCACGCTGACGACATTGCCGGCGAAATCAGTCAAGTTGCTGGCCAAAGTCGTGGGCAAGCCCGCCGAGGGAATTGGGGAGGCCATGATTGCTTAGAGTTCCTGATGCTCCTCTGTCGTAGCAATGACAGACGAAGCCTTGGAAAATGGCAATATAAACAGCGCTTCTTCGGACTCTGCCCCTTGGATGAGATATATCATCTGAATCAGTACTCGAGGCAGTTCAGTCAAATTGGGACTTTGTGGGAGGTGGGATGTGGGGGTCGACGCGCAGCGAGTTAGCAGCGTCGCAAATGGGATGACTTGGAAGCCTGGACGAGACCGAGATCATGAGAGCCTAGAACGGGATGGTCTCAGAATCCTTCATGACACTTCATGCAGGGCTCTCGCCAACTGTGGGCCGTCGTCTTACTCTCACAAGCTTCCCGCCGTAGGGTTCCGGAAACATCAGCTCGCTTACCGGATGGAATTGGCCGAGTCTGGTGCAGCAGAAGGAGCGGGGTTTGACATCCTTCTCGGATCGTTCTACAAGTAGACTCGGATCCGGCTTCGGGAACTTGTAAGCGCTGGGGGCCGTCCCCATCCGCCGGGCCCACTTCGGTTCGGAGCCCGGATTCGGAGGGTTCTTCGGAGGCTTACCTACTTATATCCGAACAGGGGATGATATGCAGACCCAATCCTTCGGGAAACCGACGCATCAGCTTTGGAGATATCTGGAAGTCTGTCAAGGACCCTGCATAGAAGGGCTGAGTTGAAGATACCATGGTACACGCGCAGAACTATCGCAATAAAAGAGGGCAGTATGTAGACGATGGTTTTTGATGTCAGTAGATGGTAAAATTGAACTACAAAGTCGCAAAAATGGCCAAAGGAACGACAATCTCAGCTCTTGTTCAATCTCCCAATGGCGGAGGCCCGCCGCTGGTCTCGCGAGACCGGCCCTTGCCGCAAATCAGAGAGCCCCACGATGTCCTCGTCAAGGTTTCTGCTGTTGCGTTGAACCCAACTGACTACAAGATGCCAGACTACCATCCCGTACCCAATGCCATTATGGGCTGTGACTTCATGGGCACCATCGTCGCAGCTGGCCCTGGAGTCGACAGCACATGTGTCGGGATGCGAGTTTGTGGTCCCATGCACGGCTCAAATCCTGGCAACCCAGATTCTGGAGCGTTTGCTGAATACCTTATCCAAGATAGACGCCTTCTTGTTCGGGTGCCAGACTCATGGAGTGACCTAGAAGGGGCAGCTCTTGGAGGAGTCGGATGGGCGACTGTGGCACTAGCTATGGAGGACTCCCTTCTTTTGACAGGCACTCCGTCAAAACCTGCCGCCTTGCGGTCTGACGGGACTCGCGTACCTGTTTTGGTATATGGTGGTGCCACAGCCACCGGCACTATGGCTTGCCAATTGCTATCGAGGTACATGCGATTGGAATCCTGGTGGACAAAAATTCGAACAAGTAGACTAACGTTCTACCTTAGTGCTGGCTATGACCCCATCGCAACCTGTTCCCCAGCTTCCGCGGCTCTTGTGAAGAAGTATGGGGCGGCTTCCACAACACCTTACTCTTCGCCGACATGCGGAGAGACGATTCGCGATGCAACAAAGGGCTCCATTCGAGCTGCGATCGACTGCATCACCACACCAGAATCCGTGAAATGTTGCTTCACAGCTCTGGGTCGCGCTGGAGCAAGATATGCATCCCTCGAACATGCTCCCGATGAGTGGAGAACGAGAAAAGCAGTCAAAATGGATATGCCAATGACATATGTGGTCATGGGCCGCGAGGTAAAGCTTGATGGAGTTTACCACCGTGATGCGGACCAGTCCAAATTTGACCTGGGAGCCAGGTGGGCGCTTGAAGTTCAGACTTTGGTAGACGAGGGACGTCTGAAATGTCACCCGGCACGTGAAGTTCCCGGTGGTTGGCAAGGAGTGATTCAAGGTCTTGAGATGTTGAAGTCAGGCCAGGTTAGGGGGCAGAAGCTTGTAGTAAAGGTGGGAAGTGCCTAAGAGCAATATCTCCGATAGTTGTACGCAACATACATGTAGTAAATACTCAACAACCATAGTAAATCAGTCCACTGTCTACATAAATTCAAATGATGGTCTATAGTTTCTTTTGCCAATGGAACCATGACTACAGATAACTACTTGTAAACGGGTCACTGTCTTCCGTACGGGACCTAAGCTTCACCAGATCTGAAATCTGGTTTGCTGGAGTGATTCAGTTCTTCGAGGAAGGAAAGTTCGTCATAGGAGAAAATTTACGTTCAGGGTTTCCTCACCACATTATGTGATACGATTCCTGGGGGCGTCTCTGTTGACGGCCTGAGAGGAATCTCCCAAACACAA